GCAGCCGCTCCCCCGCCGAGACCTGGGATCTGAGCCGGGGAGGATCCCCCGGCCCTGGGGAAACACTTGGAGCTCCTCCTCCTCCAGGTGAGCATGTGACTTAAGTCTCAGGAGCCTCGGCTCCACTCTGCCTTCTTGCTGCCAATCCCAGGAAGCGGCGCGTCCGTGACCCTGACCAGAACTCCGCAGGGGGCGGGAACAGGCGGGACGGGATTGTGGGAGCCGCCAAGGGGGGTGGAGGCCACGGAGCCTAAATTCCCCCCACCTCCAGTTACAGCCTTCCCCGGCCGAGCAGGCAGGCTTTCGTCTTCCTGGTGGCGCTTTGGTCCGGAAAAGGCCGGTTCTGGATACCAGAAGATACCAGAGCGGGCACCAAGGGTTTCCACAAGATCTGGCCTGGAGGAGTCATTCTGAATCCAACGTTCTGTCAAACCCTCATTTAAAAACAACCATATGCTTAGGACCATGTCAGTCTAGCAATCAAAGGAAAATAGGAGGTACTGTTAGATCTTTAATAGTTCCTATTGATGCAAGGACTATATATTTTAAGACTAGCAGCCTTATAGTTGAACATTAAGAAGACAACTGTCATTACATGTTAACTAACTTTATGCTAACAAATAAATCTAAATGGGTTCAGTCATCAATCCAAATGGAGCCTGAAGCCATGAAATCAGACTGAGACTCAAATGGGCAGATGTGAGGGACTGAGCATGAGATGAACTGATTCAATAAAGGAAGCCATGACATGGAGTTTAGAATACCTGAGCAGTGCTATTAATGACAGGACTTTTTGGATTGCTATAAATCAGAAGTGACTTGATGGCATGTAATAATAAAAGTAGCCTGCTGTGTGAAGCCTAGATTTTTTCTCTGTCTTAAAACTTTATGCAACCTTCTGTCAAACCTTCACTTAAAAACAACACACACACATCAAAACTTGGGTTTAGTCTTCTCATCTCATAGTTATAATACAGGAGTGCAAGAATGCATTAACATCCTCAGTAAAAACTATCTGGATATCTGTTGTCATGTACTGTCAAGTAACTTCCAGAGACATATAAACAAATAGAGAGCCAATACAATGTAATAGATTGTCACAATCCCTGCTTGGCCAGGAGAATTGTCTGGGGAGTGACACTGGTAAACGTGCTTCTTAAATATCTCACATATCTTGAAAATCCTGTTAAGGTCACTATAAATCATATGTGACTTGACAGCTCATAACTAGAGACAATGTGGATAGAATGATAGATCAGGGCTCAGGAGTCCTTGGTTCAAAACCCCATTTGGCGAAGGAAATTCACTGGGGTTGCCATTGGTAGAACCATTTCTTAAATACTGTATCTCACATTACCTTGAAAATTTCACTAGGGTCAGATGCAACTCAACAGCACATAACAACAACATGAATTAATTACCTTCAAAAGGCACTGCCATTTACAGATCAGCTCAGGTCTTGCAAACAAAAGATTGTGGCTCCTTTTTCTTTCTTGCTTGCTTGCTTACCTCATAAAATCATATAAACTAGCCCACTATAAACCATTTAAGCATCCTTCAGTCTCAAAAGACTGGTAACGTGCTCTGTATAGAAGACTTGGAACAGCGTCTAGTGTGGCTGAGAAGGCCAATTCAAGAGCGACAATCCCTTCCAGACTGAAGACAAATGTAATCTGTCCCCTGTCCAGCTCCCTGATTTTGCTGCTTTCAGGACTGTATCTTTGCCTCGGCCTGCTGGACAAGGGTCTCTTCAAATTGGGAGAGGCTGTGATGCAACGCTTGCCTCCAGCTGAACACTAAGATGTCAGGGTTTCCCATCTGTTGAAGTCCATTTCCAAGGCCTTCAGATCCCGCTTGCAGATGTCCTTGTATCGCAGCTGTGGTCCCCTCTGGGGCAATTTCCCTGCACTAATTCTCCATACAAGAGATCTTTTGGAATCTGACCGTCAGCCATTCTCACGACATGCCCAAGCCAATGTAGACATCGCTGTTTCAGTAATGTATATATGCTAAAAATTCCAGCTTGTTCTAGGACTACTCTGTTTGGAGCTTTATCCTGCCAGGTGGTACCAAAAATGCATCGGAGGCAACACATATGGAACATGTTCAGCTTCCTCTCCTGCCATGCACAAAGGGTCCAGGACTTACTGCAGTACAGGAGCATGCTCAGGACACAGGCTCTATAGACCTGGATCTTGGTATATGTCGTCAGCTTCTTATTGAGACATACTCTCTTTGTGAGTCTAGAGAACATGGTAGCTGCTTTGCCAATG